AAATCTTTATATATATATATATATATATATATATATATATATATATATATATATATATATATATAAATTATGAGTTAGTTATAAAATATAAATAAAGACATGTGTTATGTATCGTTTTATTGTTTGGTATAAATATTAAGTGCGAATAAGTTTTTACTTTCTTATTTTTCACATAGTTATCGAAAGTAAAAAAAAAAAAAAACATAATTCTCGCGGGTGAACGACTAGTTTTTACATAAAGAAAACTCCCAAATAAAAGAGAAAGGTAAACATTTTTTTTTTGGGGTGAGAAAGATAATATTGCATAAAACTTAACGAAAATTACTACCGAATCCAAACTTTATCCACTATTTATTGGGAAAAAGGACTTTGGAAGTAAGAGAAGAAAAAAAATATATATTAGTAGGCAATAATTGAAGAAGTAATGAGACCAACAAAGGATGTGGTGCAGTGGATGAGACTGCTCCCTCCTTAACCAGAGGCCTCGAGTTCGAGCCCTGGGTATGGAAAAATCCTTGGTAGGGAGCGCTTCCCCTCGAAAGAGGCCCTACGCGACGCGAATCCGGATATAGTCGGGCTCCAATGCGGGTACCGAACATCGGGTGGGAAACCAAAAAAAAAGAAAGAAGAAGTAATGAGAGCATAAGCTAGTGGACCAAAGTTAATTATGCATGTAGGGCAAATTGAAGGAAATGATGATCAAAATCCAACGTGTCTCTTCCTCTTTGGTGTTACTACGTCAACCAGCGACCCTACTATCAACTACTATAATTTTGTAATACAATAGTGTCTTTTAGGTGATGAGGCAGATTAAAGATTTAAGTTTATATTTTGAAATTATAACTTTAAAATTTAATATTTATTAAATGGTAGTTCAGGGCACGAAGCATCTTATATTTATGTGGGGTTCGGGGAAGGCCGGCAGCCTATCCTGATGCAAGCATCGGTGGCTGATTCAGCAGTTCAAACTCGTGGTCTATAAGTCACACATAGACAATTTTACTATTTCAATATACTCCCTCCGTCTCATAATATGTGTCGTGGTTACTAAAAATAGTTGCCTCAAATTATTTGTCATTTTAGAAGTTCAAGACAAAATTGATTATATTTTTCTTTTTTTACCCTTAATAATCAATTGCATTCACATTTAGTAAAAATATGGATAATGTCATTGATAGACATGACACATAAATTGAGAAAATATTTAATAAGGGTAAAGTAGTCAAAAACTATTCTTTCTTAAGGTGTGTGCACAAAGAATCACGATACATATTATGAGACGGAGGGAGTAAATGACATATTCTGCTTATCGAGACTCAACTAAATTTTAAAGCTAAATTGGATTAGTTCAATTTAGTGTTTTAAAATTAAAATTTAGATATTCAAAAACTACAAAGAAAGTACTATATGTTGCAAGTCTTTCTCATATCAAAACATAACAGCCCAATGCACTAAGTTACCGCTATGCGCATGATTCGGAAAAAGGCCGGACCGCATATATATATATATATATATATATATCTTTTGTATATTGACTAGAGAAGGTGAAGGAGAAGCAGAGAGAGATGGGTGAGAAGGGAGTCCAAAAGCCATTGCAGAAGCTTTTTTCAAGGGTACGAAAGCAGTCTAACAAAGTGAAGACATTCTTGGGTGTATTCACAGTGCTAACATTGCTTGTCACTCTCAAACTCCTTATACATGAACACAACCACTTCTTTGTTTTGGCTGAATTTGCTCATTTCATTGGTATATTGGTTTTGATTTACAAGTTGTCAACACTCAAGACTTGCTCTGGTATAGACTTCTACATACTTATAATTTGTCCCTTTTTTTTTTTTTAACTTTCTTCTCTAGCATACCCCCCCCCCCCCCCCCTTCCCCCGTTCGGTAGGCATTTCCCCGAGGCACTGATATGATGACTCTCTTAATTACACGTGTTTTAGGGAGTTGAACGTTTTATTCTTATGAGTGACCTATGTGAATATAAGTCAAGAGCAAGGATTCAGGAAAGTCAAATTCGATATTGCGAGTCGACTTTCCTGATATGAAAGTGAAAGTGGAGTGAAAGCCGGCCTTAAGCAAGATCAAAAGACGTTTAAGTCTAGTTCCAATCTAGATATAAAAGTCTGAGATCACATTACAGCCTTATTATCAAAGACCAAAAAATATTTTTCTTGAAAAATAGGAAAAGACTTTCTTTGCTTATGTTTTTTTCTTCTTTTCCTATTAGTCCATTTGTCATAGTTTCTAAATTTAGAGAGTGTTAGATAGTGAGACAAAGTTTCTCATGAATTTCCTTCCCTTAAGGCTGTGTTTGGTGCTACAACAGACTTTTGTGCACTACAAAAAAAATATTGGAATTAGCTACTAACGTCGTCGCTAATCTGTCGCTAAATTGTCCTTACCTAGCAGAATTTCTTGATAATCTGTCGCTAATCCGTCGCTAAACGGATTTTTCTGTTTAGCTACAGAATTTGTCCATCACTAAAACCAGATTTTATAGTAGTGACGTGGCACGACCCTTCTCCGGTTCCCGCGCATAGTGGTAGATTAGTGCACCGGACTGCCCTTTTTTTAAGGTTGTGTTTGGTGTGATGGAAGTGATTTTCCATTATAAATGTTTTCTTGGAAATAATTTTCTGGTGTTTGATTGGTGAAGGTTTAATTTTCTTTTTCTAACATTTTTGTGCTGCTGCTTTGTTTAGGGCTTTCATTGAAGACTCAACAGCTTACAGCAACATTTTTATTTGTAAGATTATATTGTAGCCTTCAAATTGAAGGAGATATTCATACTTTACTAGACCTTGTCACTCTTGTGGCTACATTCTGGCTTATTTATATGATGAAGTACAAGTTGAAGTCATCTTACATGGCAGATTTGGATAATATGAAGAAATATGTTGTGGTAAGTAGTTAGTACCTCCCCCTTTTGGGATTTTTTCTCTTATATTTGTTGTTGAAGTAAAACTCAGGCTGTCTGTTAATCCCTTTATTGATTCTAAACTTATTAGCAGGAGCGGAGCTAGAGCATTAGCTGCGGGTTCGGACAAACTCAGTAGTTTTTGCTTAGATCCTATATTTTTATTAGAAAAATCCATTAAATATGTATAAATATCTAATTGCGAATCGAGTACTAGAATGATCTGTAAGTTATGTGGCAAGTTCAGAACCTATGTTGTGTCAGATCCTCGAAAAATATACTACTTTGGAGGATCCGATACACAGCCAGCGATATTTTTGGAGTCCGAGCAACATAGTTTAGAACCGTAAACTTCAAATTCTGGCTTGGCGTGTGCTTATTAGCACATATGCTTCTAATAGAAGTAGGATTATGTCCATGTGCAACACCACACACATAGTAAACTTGGGAGCAGGGGTGAAACTACATAGTCCGAATGAATTTCACTTGGATCCGTTTGTTGAAAAATTATACTGTGTGAATAGGGTAAAAACAAGGAATTTTATAGATGTGTAAGTTGTTGAATCACTTTGACAATCTTGATTTTTTTGAGTCCCCTTGTTAGAATTTTTGGCTCTGCCACTGCTTGGGAGAAATATCTTCCCAATTATTATCTGATCCTCAAACTAACCCCTGTAATATAAGGTCTTCTCTTCATGATTAGAGCAAAAGCTGCTAAGCTATTTGGGAAATATTGTGGCTATTCAAACTTGAAAATTACAGGATTTCTCAAAGTTGCCACTTCTGGTCATATAGGCTGAATTTATGCGTGGTCGACTAAAGTATTAATATTCAGTCGCATAGTGAGCGAGGACAGGATGGAAGTTTGTTGCAGATTTTTGGTCGATCAGTAGTCGACAATGATGTAGCACACAACACTATAAGAATTCCATCAGTTCTTTGTTCAGGCTATGAACTTAACATTGCTAGCTTAACGTTACACGTAGCTTCACCCCTGATCCCGACTGCCTAGATCACGATAACTTTACTCTAGCTGCTTTTATGCAAGATAGCTGTGAAGTGTCCATTGGAAGTGATTTATGTGCAAGTAAAGTTCCTTCATAGAGTCATGACGTTACTTTTTGGATCATTGCTATTTTCTCCACAGATAGTACCTTGTTTGGTGATAGCCTTCTTTATCCATCCACGGACAAATAATCTTATTATCAGTATACTTTGGGCTTTTGCTACATATATAGAAGGCGTTTCGGTGCTGCCTCAGCTTCGCTTGATGCAGAACGTCAAGGTACATATCTGTCATTACACTAATGTTTCATCAAAACATTCTCCGATTAGTTCATGTGTTCTTCCCTGGATGAAGTACCAATAGTATTTCCTATTGTTGTATTTCAGATTATTGAGCCATTCACAGCTCATTATGTGTTCGCATTGGGCGTTTCGAGATTCTTCAGTTGTGCTCATTGGATCATTAAGGTCAGTTTTAAACTAAATACAGCAATTTGTTCAAATTTTAACTCTCTCAAAACCTTTCTTCCCTTGAGAATGGATTTCAAACATATTGCGCGAAACAAGTATTGCACAAACAGCTCGCAGTCTATTCATTTTCTCATGTTCTGAGTTAGTCGAAAGCTTATAACCTGAGTCGGATGCAATTGCACTCATTGCTTTCGCAGAACGTGTGTGTGTATGTGTGTGTTGTATGAACAAAAATTCTAAAATATGTAACTTAATACTTTGTTGTCACACTATTAGCGAGTTTAATGACACGTCATATTCATAGACTTCAAATTCTGAATTCGTCTCAAGTCTGTGTGTGTATACATATGCAGGTTTATGATACAGCCGGTTCATATTTGTCTTTGACTGGAGGGGGTTTCTTGTGGATACCAATGCTCATTTTAGCCGAAATCGTTCAAACATTCGTTTTGGCCGATTTCTGTTATTATTATGTGAAGAGGTGAGCCTTGTAATTCAACTATTTCTTTGAGTCCATACACTTTGATGTATTTGACGACGATTATTTAACTTCTATACACTGACAGTATAATTATATTTGATACTATCAGCGTATTTTAATATGTTATATCCGGTATTTTTATGGACGGTTACGTGTAATTCATCTGACAAATGTTTTTTTTTCTTTGATTTGCAGTGTCATACAAGGTCAAATGATGGTTCGCCTGCCAGCATAGGTGTAAATCTCCAATGACTGCATTTTAGATCTAGTTCTTCTTGTGAATAAATAAATATTATGGCATTGTTGCATTTAAGCTACTTTGCTGATGAATTCTGCACTGAATAAGAATATCAGAGATGCAAAGTCTTAAATGTGGTTGAAACTGATCAAGAATTGCTTTCAGAATCATATAGTAATAAGGATATCATATTACTATAATTTTTTTTTGGTTTTCAATCTGCGCAAAGTCCAATATTTGGTAAAATATTCTCTAACAAAGGCGATATCATACCAAGAAATTAGGTTGGCATTGGGGCTTGATTAAATCTTGATTCGCGTTGGGAAGTCCTACATTGTGAGGTAAAATACTTCTCAACAAAGGCGATTTCATAATCAGAGCTCGAACCGTAGACCCTTAATTAATTATGAATAAAGCACTCTCTAACAAAGGCAACATCATATCAAGGAATTGGGTTTGCATTGAGACCTGACTAAATATGGATTTGCACCGGGAAGTCCCACGTTGGGAGGTAAAATGCTCCTCAACAAAAGCGATTTCATACTCATGGCTCGAACCCCGGACTTTTTATTAAGAATGAATTAAGTGCATTAACAAAGGCGACATCATACCAAGGTATTAGGTTCGTATTGGCGCCTGACTAAATCTAGATTCGCGCCAGGAAGTCACACGTTACGAGGTAAAACACTCCCAACAAAGGCGATTTCATACTTCAAGGTTCGAACCTCAGACCTTTGATTAATAATAAAGGAATACTTACTACTCCACCGCAACCCTTGTTGATGATATTATATCATACGAAAAAGGGTCAAAATTGTCCCTAAACTATTTGATTTGGTACAATAATGATCTCCATCCACCTATTGAGCCAAAAATACCCCCGCCGTTATCATAATGGTGCAATTATTCCCTTATTACTAACGAACTTATCTAAAAGATATAGAAAAATCTAATGAATATCCATGTGTTACCGTGCCATTGTCCTAAATATAAATTCTGCAAATAGAAGAATTTGTACCACCACCACAACAAGAAAAAGTAATAATTTAAGCAAGAAAATGTTGAGTTTGGGAATAAGATGAAATATGTATGAGAATAAAATTCGGGATCTTGACTTAGGAAGTAATACATTAACTGAAATCAAATGGGTATGAGAAAAAAATTCATTATCTCCTCCTCTGATTCAATTTTATGGAGATTGGAGAAGACATGGGGAGTTGGCAATGTGGCATGTTCTTTCTCGGGTGAGTCTGAAGAATCATAATGGTGTTTTTTTCTAAAATAAAAATATTGGTAAAGATTTAAATTTAGACCAATTGGACAATGATACGTGGATATTATTTAAAAATAATTTCCAAAGAAGTCCGTTAGTCAATACGGACATAATTGAGCCACTAAGATAAAAGTAGATGTATTTTTGGCTTAACAGATGGACGGAGGGTATTTTTGTACCAAATTAAATAGTCTAAGGACAGTTTTGACCTTTTTTCCTTTAATTGTTTCATAAAAGAAATGTTGCGAGGACGAAAGTAAATTCCAAATTCCAATATCCAAAGACCTTTTCATGATTATTTACTCTTTCATTTGGCTTAGAAAAAATGAAAACCAAGCATGAATGGGCATTGGGAATTTGCTCCGTTATTAATAAAAATAAATATCCTATTGATTTGGTAATAATAACAGTATGGTTAAACAAAAAATATAAGGTAGTACAAAATTGCTCAATTTTCAATAGTACAAAGCAAACTTCAATCATTTTCCTTAAATTTAGAGGGTGATCAAACTAGCTTATAAATACTTTTTGGCTTATTTACGCATTTGGTAAAATTAAAAATTATAAGTTAAGTGCTTATAAGTCAAAAATAAGCCAAAAAACCATAAGTTGGTCTCCCCAACTTATCAAATTTCAGCTTATAAACACTTTAGGTTTGACCAAAATATTTACTATTCTATCCCCAAAATACTTCTTTTTAGAACAAAACTCTTAGTATACCCAATTCTTCAGCTGCTTATTATTAATTTCAGCACTTTTATCCAAAAACGTAACTGTTTATTTTTTAAATCGCACCTAATGCTTATCAGCTACTCTAAATCAGCTAAGCCAAACCGGCCCTTAGTTACACAATCTAGTAATTACATAACCATCTAACAATAAAAGTAATAAAAAAAAATCAAAGAGTTAAAAAAAAAAAAAACGAGAAAAAAATAGACCAAGACAAATAAACCCTTTTACCCAAAGAATTCAACTCTCCTTCCTCTGCAAAACCCTAGAAATACAACCCCTTCCACTGCCATAGCAGAGAAACAGAGCGAAACAATTAAACAGAGAACTTCAGGGCCTATAACACCACATATATCCAGGTACAATTACCTCAGTCTTTTGTTTTCTATATTTTATTTTTACGTGCTATAATTCTGTTCTATCACTTACTTAGGGTTTTGAGTTTTGATCGTATAATTTTGTTGCCTTTTCATTTAAGGCATATGGAGACTGCAGCGGCGGCAGTAGCACAACAACCCGTCTCTGCTCAAGTTGTGGTATTTTTACTATTAACTATTACCGTTTTTTTTTTTTTTTTTTTTTTTTTTTTTGATTTTCTGAGCTCAGTTCTGTTTTTGGGGGTTAGTTGGATACTGCATTTGGGTTGATTTTTTGTTTTTCTTTTGTGTATAGGTTGCAAATGCTTTTGTGCAGCAGTATTATCATATACTGCACCATTCTCCTGGACTAGTTTTTAGGTTTTATCAAGAGATAAGCAAGCTTGGACGACCTGAAGAAGATGGGTCGATGAGCATCACGACTACAATGCAAGTAAGCTACTGAATTGAAACTAACGTGTATTTTCGGTATCTAGTCTTTTTTGGGGTCGTTTGGTTACGAGGAATTGAGGATAAGGGATAATAATCCCGGGATGAAATGTGGCATTATATTATTCAAATGCTTTTGTTGAACTTTTGATTCCAGTGTAAGCTATCCCGGGATTGTTTATACCGAAATTCTGATATTATTTTTATACCACACTCTATCTGAGATGACACTTTTCTCCCCCAATTTAAACTTCGAAGTAAAAGTTTATCAATGTTTATCTAGTGTAAAACCTAACACATGTTTTATATTATGCGCCATATATACCAATAAAAGTATATCCAGTAATAATTTCGTCATCATTTAATTGTTGTATTATGATCCCCACATTATAATCCTATTATAAATTGTTGACAAACGAAATGACCCTGAGTTTGTTTTGAGGTTTTGTATGTTAGGTTATAAAAAAGTAAAGACTTTCTAGTCTTAAGTTAAGAGTCCCTAATTTGTTTTTAAAGATAAATTTATTAAGTGCCGGGAAGAACTTCTAGTGATAAAGAGCCCTTACTTTGCCTTAAAAGATAAAATTATTAAGTATTGGAATGAAACATGTCCAAATGGAACAAAGTATATAATGGTGAGTCATATAATCGACCACAACTAGTTTGGAATTGAGAAATAGGGTTTTGCAGTTGCGGTCTTCCTTGTGTCCTTCTCCCGGGATCTTAACGTAGTTTGTGAAACTTTCTTCCATTGTGTCCAAACTATGTGCTGTTTATGATTATAGCGCTGTGTCTTTGTGTCTATTTGGCTAGTTGCAAATTTTTTACAATAAAGGCGATGTATGGGCTGCAAATTTTAGTAGTTGTTGAATTGATTTTACGTTCTGCACTTAAGCGGTTAGTCATGGATATGTTAAATGCTGTGACGTGGAGGCTTGCGAAGATTGCCGGTGCAGGTTTTTGGGAATATAGAATTATTATCTTTTCCAAGACTTTGAAAATTGTCAAACCTTGATCTACTCACGTTTCATTATACGAACGAGGTGGAGTTGACAGTTTACTTTGCCACTGTGCTTGTTCTCTGTGGTAAGTTTTGAGTTTAAGATTCTAAAGCCCGTCATTTTCTTTTGTTTGATGTCAAACACACAGGCAATCAATGATAAGATACTCTCACTAAACTATGGGGACTTCAGAGCGGAGATTATATCTGTGGATGCGCAAGAATCCTACAATGGGGGAGTGCACGTCCTTGTGACTGGATTATTGTCTGGGAACGACAACGTGGTCCGGAATTTCTCTCAAACTTTCTTCCTAGCACCACAAGACCGAGGATACTTTGTTCTGAATGACATGTTTCGATATGGAGACAGTGTCAATCAACATGTTACTGCCGAGGTCCCGGCAACTAATGTGGTGGCTCCTGTGACTCCTGAACAAGGTAATATAAGCTGATAGGTTATTTTTTTGTTTGATCGTGACCTTAAATTGGAACTGAGCATTGAAGTAAGTGTTTTCTATTTGTTGCAGATCCCCCTCCAGTGCAGCAGAATCACATTTCTGAGCAGAGCTCACCATCAGTGGAGGAAGCTAATGAGGGAGAAGTTTACAACCCACCTGAGAATGGTGACATGCCCGTCGAAGAGGAAGTTCCTGTCGCTGAGGTTGTTGATGAAATGCAAGACGACTCTCAAATAGCAGTTGAATCTAACATCAAAAGTGAAGATGCTCCTAAGAAGTCATATGCTTCAATTGTAAGTTTGTCCCCCCCACCCCCCCACCCACCCCACCCCCCACCCACAAAAAAAAAAACAGAATCCTATCGCTTCCGCATGTTTATTTGTGAAGGGCTGAACAAGTTTATTTGTGAAGGGTTGAACAAGATTTTAAAGGTTTACCGTTTACATAAGAGATTTTTGGAGGGGGGAGGGGTATGATGGACCTTTATTAAGTTAAAACAATTTGCAATATTTTTTCAGGTCATGCATCTCAAGGAAAGTGCTGCTAGTTTCTCCCCTCCTCCTGCACCTGCTCATCGGAAGCCTACGGCAAAGAGCGTTGAGCAAGTGAATCAACCTCCTATAACAGCGACTGATGACCCAGCTTCCAGCGTAGATTCTGCTAATGACGCGAATAACCAAGAGGGAGAAGGCATGCAACTATGCTATTGTGCTCCCATTTTCTACTCCCTTCGTCCCAATTTATGTGACACTCTTTCCTTTTTAGTCAGTCCCAAAAAGAATGTCAATTTTCCTTATGCAGAAACAATTTATCTTTAGAATTCCTTCTTTACCCTTAATGAATTAATTTACAATCACACAAATACTATGGTCTGTTTTAGACCACAAGTTTAAGAAGTCTTCCTTTCTTTCTTAAACTTCACGTCTAGTCAAACACCGCCACATAAAATTAGGACGGAGGGTGTATCTCTTTTTAATTTTGTCTTGCTGCTAATATATTTGATATCTTATTCATATGTTCGCTTTTAACTGCCTCCAGCAACTGAAGGCTATTCAATCTACATAAAAGGCTTGCCTATGAGTGCAACTGTGGCGTTACTTGCAGATGAGTTCAAGAAGTTTGGGCCTATCAAGACTGGAGGCATTCAAGTCAGAAACAGAGTATGTGGTTTGCCCTAACATTCTAACTAACTACGGAAAAAGCAGAGTAAATTGTTGGTTAATGGATTTCTTTTTTTTGGGCGCTCGCTGATTCTGTAAACAATTGTAATTGGCGGATGACAGCATCAGGGATTTGCGTTCGGTTTTGTGGAATTTGAGGTGGCAAGTGCTGTGCAAAAAGCTATTGAGGTATCTTCAATTTCGTTCTCTATATATCATGTCTAGTTTATTAGTCTAACAATTGTATTGCTTTGAGAATCATTGATAAAATTTGTTTTTAATGCCGATTAAGATTATTGTGGCTTACTGTCTTAGCTAATTTATTCATAGCTATCTGAAATGCCAGGTCTAGGCAAATTGCGACTTGGTATACTTAATCTGCACTGTATTTCGATAAAACTTTATCAGATTTCCCTATAATTTCAATTGCTGTGATGAATCCTCGTAGAAGATGAAATGTTTGGGATTCTTCGGAGAGACCAAATTATCCCTTTTTAATTCTTTAGTGGTCCATCAAATAGAATGGCTAAGTTTCATGTAGAATGTACTGGTTATGAGCCTTGTGAAAGTCTTTGTGTTCAATTCTTCTTAGAAAAATAGTATCTCCATCATGTATTAGAGTTAATACCGGAAATGCTTAAGATAACTTACATAGTCCTTATATTATGTACACTTTTATACGGTGTATTCCAACTCGTGTATGTTTTTTTATGTCTCATGAACTTCTATCTAGGTAGGTTTCATCATTAGTCTTACTTTACTATTTTGGGAATCTATTGTTTCTTCTTTGCAAGTTTTATATGATGCAATTACCCTTCTGATCTTCAAGTGTAGCAAAGTTTAACCACTGGCCTTACATTGTTTCTTCAATGTAAGGCCCCAACTATAGAAGACCCCAACTATTTCCAGACCCGGTTTAGTTGATAAATCACTTTTTAAACGTGTCTTATAAAATGAAGAAATTGATTTTACATAGTCAAGAGTATTAATCTTTTAGTGATATCATAATAATTTGAGTATTTTTATGCTGGTATCAACCTACCATTTTTCTTGATAAATTTTTGATCTATATTTCAGGCATCTCCAATTTCAATTGGTGGACGCCAAGCTGTTGTTGAGGAAAAAAAGTCTACAAATTCTCGAGGCAAGTTTAATATTATCCTTCTGAAGTAATTAGAGAATGACTGTATAGTTAATTGATGGAAAATTTTGAAAAAAATGCACAAATGACATGTGGTAGAGTTCTTGAGAACAAGAAATTGAACCGACTTTTAGCCCCAGGAGCTGTTCTTTGTATTTCAGTTTTCGGTTATCTTATCAGTTCTGTTCTCTATAGCACAGCGACATTCTCTCTTACATTTATCGAATTTTTTTGAATTGATTATCTTCCTCCTTTCAGGTAACAACAGGGCTAGATTTCAGTCCGGAAGGGGTTTTGGTTACAGGAATGATGGAGTAAGAGGTCGAGGAAACTATGGAGGTGGCAGGGGCTACGGTCGAGGTGATTTCGAAGGAAGAACTGAGTACAATAACAGGGGTGGCAACCGCGGCTGGTCATCAAACCGTGGTGGGGCTGATGGATACCAGCGAACTGATAACACAGGTGGCAATGCTGCGCGACCGAATCGTGGTGGAGGGATGCCTAATGGAATAGCCAAACACACAACAGCATGGGTTTCTACTGCACCTGAAATATAGTAGCTTAAAAGCAAACGTTCAACTGATTATAGTAGTTCTGAAATTGGCATTTTCTAACCGTTGACGTCCCGGGTAGGAGAAGTTTTGTCAGGAGCAACGATGTTTTTGCAAGAGCTCTTTTTGCTAAATTTCAGTTCCCTAATTTCCCCTTTAATTGGTATAGGTGGGGTAGGAATTGAAGGTAGGAATTTAACTTTAAGTAGCTTTTGTTAAGTAGTATATAGAGTATCTAAGTCTCTAGGAAGAGATTCTCCAGTCATTTTTACAGGCCTCTCTGTATCAGTTGAATTATTTTTGTTTGGAGGCTATATTGTGGCAATTGAGGAAATGAGTTTATATTAGCTGTAAATCTCTCATGGATTCTATTGTCGGTGGCAGGTAACAGGTACCCGATGGAATAACGTAGAATGCTACATAATTAGATTAATTGTTGTACGATGCTAGAGTATGATACATTAAATACAAAACTATTTACTTGATAAGTAGTGTAAATTTCTTCATGTTCTCCTTGCTGCTAATTTAATTTATAAACTCTCCTGTGTAAGTTTTCTCACATCGATTTCCAAATCCGGATAAAGGAAGAGGTTGCGACAGATTGACAACCAGCGTAAAACTAGTTAATTTATAATTAATCCACACAATACATAATTGTTGTTGTAGCTAATTTAATTCATAAAAAACCAATTTCATTAGAACCCATCACCACAGTGCACCTTCTTGTTATTCTTGTTTACATGATTTAGCCATCCAAATCCTCTAAATGCCTTAGAAATCTTGACAAAATTAGGCTTTCCCATTCCCAAATTCATCTTTCCAGCTGAAAACTTTAATGCTTGTAAACAACACAATTGCTGTTCATCCATTTCTTCTTCAACCTCATCATATTCTTTCTTATAGCCCTTCAGTTCTCCTTTCTTTTTTATCTTTTTCAAACTATTTTCTCTTTTTCCCTTGTTCTTTTTTGTGTCCATTTCATGTGTTTCCCACAACAAATCCATTCCTTCACTATTGCTATAACTAGCATTGTGTCTTTCCTCAAATAGTTTGCATGCTAATGTCCTTTTCCACTCTTTTTCTTTCCTCATTGATCCATAACTAATTCCCACATTATCAAGATTTTCACTAAGTCCCTTAGAATGGACATTTCTCACTAGTACCTCATCCTTTTGTTTTTCAATGTTTTTTTCAACTTTTTTCACTTCCACATTCTGACTCCAAGTTGTGTTTTCAAACTCATTTACTTCTTTGAAGAAATTTTCCAATGTCTTCTCCTCTATGACATGCTTAGTACTCTCCATTTCAGCTGAATTTTCTTCTAAATTTTCTACTAAAGACTCATCTTTGTCATGACATGAAGAATCAAGAAAAGGGGTGGTTTCACTTTCCTCAGCTGATGTATAGTCCAAGAATTCAACAGAGTTTTCTTCAACATCAATCATCGACGTGCCAAACACGATCTCGTAGGCTTCACATTCCTCCAACTTGTCAGTTTCATCGTCCCTTTGTGATTTTAATCTTGATTCAAAGAACTTTGTGGAAGTAGAGTTGTTGTGAAGGATGAGAGTTGGAGAGATAGTAAGAAGGCCAAGAAGCAAAAGGGTAGTTGTAATGAAGAGAGGAGAGAGGAAAGAGAGGAGTTTAATAATGTAAGGTGAGAAGAAAATGAAGTAGGAGAAGTAGAGAGGATGAGATAGAATGAAAGAAAAGAAGTGAAAAAAGTATGACATGAGAAGACTCAAAATTTGAGGCCTAGTTGAAGTAGTATAACTTCTTGGCAAGCACAACTTAGACATTTTTCTTAATATCTAATAGTTCAGTATTTGATGATGTTGTTGTTTACGTACTTGTCGTTTTGAGAATTAACGACTAGATTCTGTTGATTCACCGTCCATTTGTCCTTTAATTATAAGGGGTTGAGAAAGGACTTGATTGCGAACACTCTTCTTTTGTTCTAGAGAAGTGTAACGATCCAAAGAAACTCTCCTGGCTTAACTACTGGTCAACTGGTGACGTGTCACATACCCTGAAAACAACAACCGCTACCGTTAATAAGAATGTGAAAATTAGTGGAGGGGAGAAGAAGGGGAATTGAAAATTAGAAGATGGAGAAGAAATGGGAAAGAAGGAGAAAGAGGAGGATTTTGGTGTTATATTTTGTTTAGGCAGAGAAATGTTGTGATTGTTATAGTAAATGTGGTGTGAATGAAATGAATAGAATGTGTTATGTTTCTCTATAAACCTCTATTTGGTTGTGTGAGAATCTAAAAAGGAAAGTAATAATAGAGGGAGAGAAACATCATTTCCTTTGGAAACTTTTCTTCTTCTTTAACTACCATGTAATTTGCCTTTTTCTCTTGAAATTTGCCTAAACTAACAAAGGAAGGAGAAACATCATTTCCTTTGGAAACTTTTCTTCTTCTTTAACCACCAAATAATTTGCCTTTTTCTCTTGAAAATTACCTAATCACCCTGATTGAAATCGTACTAATTCCCCCCCCCCCCCCCTTTTTATACTCCTATTGGTTTCTACGCTAAGGCTTTTTATTTTTTATTTTTTATAAAGATTAAGGCATCTGAATACACATCTGAGTATCAAGATGTGCAGTAAGATTAAAATATCTAAATTTAAATACATATCTGAATATTAAGATGTGTATGAATATCTGAATAATAAACGATTAAGATTATTTAAATTTTAACATTTGAATATAAAAAAATTATCTTTGTCTGAAAAATAGTAAACATAAAATTCAAATGAAATACTAATTAATTTAATATTCTATCAATAAATATTTTTGAAAATATGGTAGTTGTTGGTGGTGAAGGCTAACGATGGTGCTTGTGAATGTCGACTAGAGGGTGGTTGATGATAATTTTGGTTGATGATGGTGGTTTAGGGCAGTAGCTAATGGTGATTGGTAGTGGTGGCAATTATTATTGAGGACGGTGGTGGTGGGTGGTGATAGTTAATAATAGCGGGTGGTGGTGCTAGTTGTGATTGAAGAAGGTGGTAGTGGGTGGTGGTAGTTTATAATTGTTGGGTTTTGGATGTATTTAATTAATATATATTAAATACTTAAAAGAGGGTGAATGGGAAATGGAGGGAAATGAAATTTTTGAGTGAAATTTTAAGTTCCCCCCTTGGCAAATGGGCATTGTCCCATATTGGAAGAGGAAGAGGTTTTTTATGGGTATATAAGCAATTGCTCTTCTTCTAGCTCTTAAAGAGTTGAGAAGAAGGCAAGTTTCGCGCCGTCGTCGTCGTCGCTCGCTCGGCTCGGCTTCGGCTTCGGCTTCGGCTTCGGTTTCGGCTTCGGCTACGGCTACGGCTACGGCTACGGCTTCGGCTTCGGATTCGGATTCGGATTCGAATTCGGATTCGGATTTGGTCAAATGATCGATTGATTGATTAACTTTTTGGACCAAATTTATTTGTTAATAGTAAAATATTAACAGAAATGTTATTAAATATTTGTTTCAATAACAGAATATTAATATTAAATATTAATATTAAATCCAATCCGTTTTTCTGTTTTGGTAACAGAAAAGTAACTACCCTCTTCAATTTTCCCTCTTTATTTTCCCTCTTTATTATTGAGTAAATGGCCATTTATGTAATGGCATTTATGCTGTGGGCGTTTTGCATAAACAGCCATTCTGAAGAGTTGCACCTCTTCAGATTTCAGCCCAACTTTGGCTATAAATACAACACTATTCTGCTAAGAATTTCACTACGATTTTCTGAGTTTTCTCTCCTTCTTCTGCATACTTTTAGCATCAAACAAAGTAAAAAGTAAGTGTGATTTGCTACCGAACTTTGTGTTCGCTGAAACACTGGGGTTTGAAGTACCACTACACCAGTGTGTAATTCGTTCTATCCTGGGAGGAAATAATCCATAACCTTAGGTACTAGGAGGGCATTAAATTCCTTAAGGAAACATTGTGAATTCAGTGGGCTCGAATTGGTTTTATGTCATTTCTGTTTATGTTCATTTCTGTTTATATTCATTTATATTTTCAGAATTATTTTACAAATACAGTCTACTAACAATAATGATGGCAGTGCCAGCTATGGTTGTTGATGGTGATAAGGTAGTTAGTTGTGGTAGTTGAGGTGGATGAGTGTTGGCTGTGTTTGAGAATGATGGTGGTGGGAGTGGCGGAAATGATGGGTGGTGGTAGTCGATAATAGTGGCGGCTATGATTGAGGATGGTGGTGGTGGTGGTGGTTGAGTATAGTGGTGGTGGGTGGTATGGTGGTAGTTGATAATGGTAGGCTGTGGCAGCAGCTAATAATGAATATGGATGATAGCATCCTAATGAAATTAAGTCTCTGTTATAGATCTTAATCATACAAACCTATTCAGACCCATTAAGTGGTTGTGAAGTAAAAAAAAACACACTTAATAATTAAGAGCTGGATAATAAAGATTTAGATTTTAAAAACAAATGCACATAATGTTTGAGATCTGAATGATTAAGATTCAGACCTTCATTAAGTGCAAACAAATGAGGCCTAAGTTTTGGTCTTTAACCCCCAAGAATGGCAGACAGAGTGTAGTTTAGGGGTTCGGCCAAACCCAATAATTTTAGTTTAAATTTTGTATTTTTCTTTAAAAATTATTAAATATATAAAAATATTAATTTATAACTCATTAACATAAAAAACTAGATCCGAACGTGGAAGCTTCATAGGAAAAAAGAAGAAGAAGTAGGAATGGAACATACAAAAGGTTTCTAGTTTAGCTACTCAATAATTAACTCATCTGCATAGTAGAAAAGCAAAAAACTCCCTACAACAATTTGATAAAGTAAGAAAAGGAAATGAGTATTACATGTAACTAAAAGGTTCACTCTTTTAGCTAGTAATTTATTTATGTAACCTTTTACTTTGGTTAACACTAAAATGGTTGGAAAAGAATTTATGAAAGTGAAATTGAATTTTATCTAACTTGTCGGCAAGTCTTTAAAATTTCTTCAATCATCATGTATTGCCAAAGGAAAAGGAAAAGATACTTTAATTTTTTTTACCTTGGTCATAGATAATTTCCATTATTCACTGGCCTATACCTACTATTAAAGAAATTCAAAATTAAAAAGAATTTAAGAAAGAAATTAAGGAAAAGATTCAAATTTACCCCTCTTGTCTTATACTTGTCATGTTTACATTTTGGTCCATGAAGACACTGTTAATTTTGTCTCATATTTGCTTTATCCACTACAATAATTTGAAGTATATTTAAAAAATTAAAAAGATCCAAATATGCTCCTGAACAATGTAAAAAGTTCAAACATAGCACTACGTGACTCATCAGACCAACTTCGTTACTATCAATATCAT